TTCGACTTGTTTTGTGTTAGTCGGGAAACCATCCTTAGCACCTATGGAAACGCCATTTTCCCCAACCGGTAAAAAAGTGTCTCTTACGTTGCGTACCAAAATTAAGATATATGATATATACCATCACACCTTCTAAGTCTTTAACCAATCAATGCTCAAAAGTACTTTCTAAACTTTTTTTTAAGTTTTGAACACAACAAAAAAATCGTAATGCCCATCTTCCCCAATCCCTATCACAACCATAATATATATACACACTAGTTCATATATGTGCCAATTGCATTATTAAATATCCAAACAAAAAGATAGTTTGTGTCATGCATCTATTTTATTGGGTCATGGTGACTTGGATCCCATTTCATGTGTTAAACACGAAATGCGCTGGCCTACCCTCCCTACATATTGTTATATATCATATTGTATGTTAATATAACTTTGTTATCTCCCTAGTCTGTGACATATAATATTTTCTAAGTATTACGCCAAGCTATTTTGTAATTCAAAATTGTTCTTTTTGGTAATACACATCCATATTCATATGAAAATATAAATAGGCAGCATAGTGTATATAAGATTCCTCTTGTAGCCTTTAATTTATGACTTGTGGATAACTTAGTAATATTTAAAGTAGCATAAGAGTATCATCACCTCTAGTCTCACACAATCATTTATCAAACTGTTATCTTCCGGCCCGTTCTTATGTTTTATGCATGCACATTGCAACACAGAAGTACTTATGGTCAGTACAAATTTAATACTTTTGTTCTCTTAATATTAAGAAGTGTTTTCTTTAACAAAAAAATAATATGAAGAAGTGTTTTCCGTGATTTGCAACTGCTTTAATTCCCTAGAAGGATTTGTTATATGTCTATATGATATATTATAAAACCTTAGAAACTTTTTTTCATCACTTTTATAGCCGTTGCTAGTGTCAGTGTGTACATGTATTCTCACAAAGAGAATAAACTTAACAATAGAGAGTAATTGACTTTTGATAAGTTGGGGTTGAATCATATCTAATGCTCGTAATTGAACAAAAGATTCAGTGGTCCTACAATCCCTAGATATGAGAAAGAAAAAAATAATAATTCTAATCAAATTGTGTTAGGTTAGTGGAGAATTGACTATCTGCAATATTCTAAAAAATATGAGTTCTTACTTTCATTTTTGTTAAACAGAAGCTTAGTTATATTGTGAAATATAAATTATTGATTCATAAATATGCTTTGGTTCTAATGAGAATTAACCACTTTAAAATGTGAAAACTCCAAAAGTAAAGACACCAATTATAATCTGATTGATTATATATGTACAGAATATATAATAGAATCAGCTTTAGAGACGTATCAATTTCAAACGCCACAGAAAAAGTTGTCATGTGGCCCCTTTTACTAATTTTAAGCTCAAATTTGAAGCAAACTTGTAAGAAAAGTTTATAGAGTTTTCATATATGGTGGATAAAAGGTTTTAAAAAGATTAAGAAGTAATGGATCTGAATGGTGGAATGATTAATTTTGTACGTTTCTTTTAACCATCTCCCACCACACTGCAAATTTTGTTGCAAATATAAAATAAGTTTTTAATATTACTCGATTTTGTAATTATGTTAACACAAAAACTTTCGTTTAACAATTTTGGTAATTCTTTCAAGATAATTTTTCACTGTCACTA